GGTGTTCATTAACCAAACGCAGCTTACCTCCAAATCACGGCCCAGCTCGTACAAGAGGGCGAGACTTTCCCCGCCAGCAATGCGCAGGCCGACGTTCTCGCTGGACAGGACTCCGGAGAAGTATGGGAGGTGGCTAGGAGACAGAGGCGTGTCATGTGACCAAGACGGACGTACAGACATAATGCAGCAGCCGCGCCAATAACAGAAACCGGTTCAGAGAACAATGGCGGCTCTGGAGTGTTGTCAGGAGTGACCACTTCTATCTGGCTCAGCAATGGCGGCCTCCAGAGGCTCCTCGGGGTTCCTTTACACTGTATAATGGCGCTCAGCCAGGTCGGGGGGGATCTTTATCATAAGACGACTTGCCATACATTGATATTTGATCAGCGAAGCTCGTTCAGCCCCATTTCTCTGTAAAGATTAAGTGACAGGTTCTCTTTCTAGAACCCTCCCTTCCCCCACACTGGCTGTACTCCCCTGCCTCTTCCTTCGGGGCCCAGTCTATTGCCGGTGGTTCGGGTTATGGGGGAGCATTTGATCTCCTACAGTGCTCGGGCCTAAGCGGCCAATGACAAGGCCCGGACACGGTCACCTGACGAGGAAGGCGACAGAATTCAGGAACCCGTCAGCCTGACTGTTTTCACTGACGGCTAGATTTGATTTGCTCTTCTGTGATTGGTCCGGGCCCGCTGTGACACCATCTCCCACGCTTCCAATCAGCACTCACCTCTCCAATGCCTTCTGTATGCGGCTGGCAGGGCAGATGGTCAGCAGCAGCGCCCAGGACTGGATGGCGCCACACACCAGGCCCTGCAGACTGGCCGGACTGCTGTGATTCTCCGAGTATACCGGGGTGAAGACCCCCTCCAAGCAGCTGAGACTGGAAGCCAAGTCCTGCGGGATGCGGGAGAGAGCGGAGTGAGTGACAACGTCCCCCGTACATCCCGGGTGTACAGGAAGTCGGGGGTCAGGGCACATTACCTCGTCATCTGTCGCGGCGATGTAACAGCAGATCCCCAGAGCCGCGGCACACTGCAAGACGACAGGAAAGTGTTAGACTGGCGAACGTCGTCATATGGGACGCACGGGACAGGAACATCCGCATGTAACGTTCAGAGCGGGGGGT